GGGCTGCACCTCGCCGCGTGCAGGCCTCGGCCGCCGGCCGGGCAGCCCCCTTACCTCGCTACGGCCGCAGCTCCGGCCTCGGCGGTCCCCCTTCCGCTGCGAGCTGCCGCCTTCGGTCGCCTGCCAGACTCCAGCCGCTTGCACGCACTCCCCGATTTTAAAAACAAACAGGCGCCGTCGCCTCCCCGCGGCGCTCTCAGGGCTTCCGCCAGCCCGCGCCTCCCCAGGTTGGGAAGTTTTGCTGGCAGGGCCCGGGCGGGACGCGCGTGCTGTCACCCCCCGCTCGTGGCGCCGGCGCCGCGGTGCACCCCGAGCTGGTGGTGTCCGCCTCGCGCTCGCTCTCCCTCCCTCGGTGTCACCCCCAGTCCTGCGATGCAGTGTCAGGATTGCACTGCTCTGACTCATCGGTTGAGCTCACAGCTTGAAAAAAAAAAAAAAGGAGAGAGGGCGAGAGGCAACCGCGCAGGACGACTCTGGCGTGCTACAAAGGATTGCACAACTCGGGGCTGGGAGCACCGAGCACCCAGCGGCCGGCCGGCGCGCGCGGCTCGGCGGCCAGCAGGAACCAGCTCGACCACTTCATCAGCACAACTGTCTCGGGTCGGCCTCTCCGCCCGCAGGCCCGGCGCCGCCCACTTCCTGCGACCAAATAAGGCCGGGGAAGGCGTCGCAAACCTCCGGCGGCGGCCCGGGCAGGGGATTTCCAGCAGACCTCACCTCCACTCCGGGGCCGGCCGTGGGCCACCCTCCCCCAGCCCGGGCCAGCGCCCCCAACGGCTTTGCTGGAACCTACAGGCCACGCGGCTCGTTCCTTTCACACCAAGGTCAGGAGGAGACGGTGACGAAATGTTTGGAAACCCATCAGGCCTGCCAGGAAAGAGTGTGTGTGATGCTGGGGAGGACACAGTGGCTTTCTTCCACAGAGAAAGCTCTGGTTTGGGATACGGTAAATCTTGCACCATCCTCTCTGGGGCACTTTATTAACAGTCTCCCCAAGTTTCACTTTTTGGCTCACCAGCATCCTCCTGGTGGAAAGGTTTTCTAGAAGCAGGCCGCAGCCCCTATGATAGACCCAACTCTCAGTTACTTAGAAGTGAAAGGCTCCTGGATTGAATTCCATTGGGGTGGCTTTTCAATGCATGCCCAGGCTTCCTCACCACCTTCCCCAGACAACCCCCCCCCCCCACACACACACCCATGCCTCCTTGCCTGGCTTGTGGGCAGGAGGAAAACATTTCTGCTGCTCAAAATGTTCTCACTGGCCCTCACGTTCAGTGAGGCTCCAGAGCTAGAAGAAAGTCCAGAAGAGAGAGTCTTGTTTGTCCTGGTTCCTTCCATTTGTTTTTGTTTTCCCTAAGGAGATGGACTAGAAGATTTTCCTTTGACGGAAAACCACAGAAGAATACTGTGTCCTGGCAGCTATTTTCCCCTGTGGCCAGTCCTGACAAGCAGGTGTTCCTTGCTGGGTCAGGAGAGCAGGAGGGGCTGCAGAATGGGCTTCTCACAGTCCCTCTGAGGCAAGGGCAGAGACCCGGGGCTTGCAGCCTAGCACTCTTGCAAAATCCATACTTGCTCCTACGGGACACAATCTTCCTGTCCTCTTGTATGCCTTTGCAGGCTGGGCAACTGTGCACATTACCCAAGAAGGAAGGAGTTTCTTTGCATCATGGTATGACAGATATTTCCAAGTAATGACAACTTAGCTTTATCTGCAAAATAAAGATAATGACGCCAGGAGACTGGGCCAGATGGCCTCTTGGAATCCCTTCCAGTTTAAAGCCTTGATTCTGTACTACGGTAAGAAAGAAATGGAGGAGCCAGGGAAATTACCTCCACCAAGGAGAGAGTCTGTGCTCTGGAACTTAGCATCTGCTATGACACAATAGTTTATGGCAGTTTTCAAAGTATGCCCCCCCCACACAGCGAAATTAACCCTGTGTGCGTTTGGCCCCTGTCATTTTATGGATGAGAACACAGAGGTTTAGTGACTTAAACAAGATCACAGAGCCAGGCAATCACTTGTCACTTCTCTACTCGGCTTCCAAACTCCCCCAGAGGAAGGTAGTATGCAACTGAGGGACAAAGCTGCTAAATCCAATTAGAAGAGAGATCAGGACTCCTACAGATTAAAGTCTTTTGTTGTTCCATTTTTCTAGTTTCTTGCTACTGACACTTCATTCAAGTGAAGGAAGCAAAAGCAAGGCCGCTTGGTTTCCAGTGCCCACTGCAGCCAGATTCCTCTGTAGACCTGTAGCCATCCTGACTTGCCCCTAGGGTCTAGCCACTGCTGCGGGGCTCCAACCAGCCCAGACCAAGCCCCAATTGCACCTGGGCAGACCAGATATATTACCAACCAGAGAACTCAGCTGGGGAGCTCATTCCTAGAAGAGCCTCCACCATGGAGCCAGGGCCCAGCCTCCAGGGAACAAATGGGAGCCACTCCAAAGGACACTCCTCGGCCTCATCCCGCCAGGACTTCCTGCCCTGTGCTTGGCTGCTGGGTTGGCCCAGAAGGCAGTACAGGGAGTAGAGGTAGGTGGCAGGATACACGGAAAACTGAGCAGTGACCTGGAGAAGCCTTGGAGCAATATAGTGCAACTACTCTTCCCAACTCAGACCACCACAGAAAGAAAGGGAGGACAGGGGGGGCTTGTGCATGCATGCACGTGTGTGCACACTCATACACACACACACACACACACACACACACACAAAGATGGGGGGCTCCAAACTGTCCCAGACAGGTCCCTGCCTACTGGGAGGAGGAGTCTTAACAGATGAGGATGTGTAAAGAAAGCTACAGCTCTTCTGGGAAAGCCCTGGAGGTTGGTTTTACTGCAAATATGACAAAGTAGATCACCGACACGTGTAGTGAAAGTTTTGGTTTTAGAGCATCAACCTTTTCAACCGACCTCTGGGGCAGCCAAGGAGGGTGCCCCTTGGAGCAAAAATAAAGGTGTTGCAGGGACCTTCCTCAAAGAGTGGGGCTTTTCTCCACCATCACTGTCTTTACAAACTGCAGGAAAGTCAGGAGGACAGAGTTCCAGTTCCCACACAGTGGTCTGATGAGAAGCATCCGAAGAAGCAAAGCACCCTAGATAGGACTCCAAACTCTGGGGACCAGTGAGGGTAGACTATGGCACTAGGGGCTCCCCAGAACACATTAGCTCTCTAGGCCAATGATCTGTCTCTGCCCTGAGTGTTCACCACCAGCCTCTGGTACAACTGAAACTAGTTAAAAGTTTCTGGGCCCTCCCTGGTGGCGCAACGGTTAGGACACAGCACTGCGAGCTAGCCACAGCTGCTTCAGCAAGAGTTCAACCCCCAGCCCCGGAGATGACCCACGTGGAACAGCAGACCTCTCCTGTCTTGCCTGCTGCTCCCCTCAGCAGTGTACTTCACTTATCTGCCTGTTCTGCTCCCCACTCTGTCTCTGGTGAATCCTCCCACCATCCCTGCACCTCTGGCCTGTACCCCAGTTCTGTATGCACAAATAAATAAATCTTAAAAAGAAAAATTGCAAGAGTGAATTTCATGCTTTGTGAATTATATCCCAGTGGAGCCGTTAGGAGGGGAAGAGAGGCTTCTAGGAAGCCAGGTTCTCACCATCCACCCACCGGCTCAGTTCACTTTCTGCTGCGTCACTCACTGTTTAAAAGAGGGCTTTTCCTCTCTCCCAACCCTGTGCCTGCATTCCTGTCCTTTCTACGTCACCTCTTTTCTATTGGGACCTTGCTATCAAGGCCCCAAAAAACAATGTTGTTTCAGTGAATAACCAATGGATGGTGGGGAGGTTGGGGTACAAATGCAGTTGAGGATATCACAAGTCCACAGTTTTGTCCTTTATATTCCATGTGTCACTTTCCTATGAACAGGATTGAGTTTGAGTCTTGCCTATCTATAGCTGACTGCTATGTCATAATTTTTTTCAAGATTTATTTATTCGTGCATACAAGAACTAGGGAATAGGCCAGAGGTATTGGGGTGAGAGGAAGCACCAGGGTCTGTGGAACAGAACAGGAGGACTAACAGAAGTGCCCTCCTGAGGGGAGCAGAGGATAGGACAGGAGAGGTCTGCTGCGCCATGTGGTCAGCTCCCTGGCAGGGGACTGAACTCCTTCTGCAGTGGCTGCAGACTATTTCATAGGGCTGCACTTTAACCCCCTTGCACCACCAGGGAGGCCCCGCTGTGTCATCTTAAGAAAGCTGACTAACCTTCTCTAAGCCTCACTTTTTGGCCCTTACCAGAGGTCCTGTGAGTACCTGTTACACGCACAATGCAAGAATACCATCCATCTAGGGACTTGGGAGAATGAAAAGGAAAAAAAAAATTACTTTTTACCTCCATTTGCTACACAGATAGGAGGGGGTACCACTGATATTACTTTTACTGTTTAACACAACATCCCCTTTTCCCAAAAACAGTTTCTTCCTTTCAAGAACCTAGTCCAGGATAGGTTTGCCTTTTCTCTGAAAAGCCCCTTGATCCCTTGAGCCTCAGGGTGGCCCTCTGCTGGCTCTGCCCAGAGACGTTCTCATTGCCAGGGTACCACAGGCTCTCATGCCCAGACTTCTCCCAGGCCCCGCTCTTTCCGTCTGTCTGTCTGTCTGTCCGGTCCTGAGTACTTCCCAGCCAGCCTCGATGAGGCACTCCTTTGAGGCTATGCCTTCCCCTCACTCCTTTCTCCCATGTCTTTTCTGAGGGAGCCGGGATCTGAACCACCCCGTCACCACATTTAGCCCTCGCGTGCCAAGAAATCCCTGCACTGTCTTCCCTCACCCCTGACAACCCAAGGGACTCTCCTCCTCAGTTCACATTTACTTCACCTGTTCTGCGACAGGGCCACAGCTGTCCACAGCCTTCGGCCCTCCCACGGCCGCCTCCACCTCTGTCCCTTGCAGGCTGGGCCAGGCTGTGAGTGTCTTTGTCAGGGGCCTGAGAGGGAGCTTCTGCAGATGTCTCCAGTTGCTGCTGTCACTCTGGGAGAGACGTCTGGCTGGGTGTAGGAAGAAGGACAAAACAGGTGCGGCTGCCAGGGAGGGCGGGCCAGGAGGGCCACAGGGACAGAAACGTCCTTTCTTCACGGAGCCAGCACTGCTAGCTTCCCGAAGGCCCAGTTGCAGCACAATTCCATGCCCCCTGTAGAACCAGTCCCAGACAGACTCCACCGGCTGTTCTCCAGAGCTTGGCTCTGCGCCCACGTGGCATTGGGCCAGAAGGAATGGGATTCCCAAGATGCACTGTGTACAGTGAGGTATACTTTAAACCATTTTCTCAAATGAAAATAAATATTGATACATCACATGCATGAGTCCAAAACTCGTACTCATGGACATGTACAAGCTGTAAGCACAAGCTGAGTAGTGGGTCCAAATCTTGCCTCACCCTGGCTTGCTAACCTTGAACATATTACTTAACCATTTGGTTCTCTCATATGCAACATAGGAATAATAAGTAAAAACTTAAAACACATCAAGTCTTTCATAAGCATTGACTATCACTTTTTTTCATCTAAC